CTGGACCGGGTGGCTTAAACTCACGCTGGGTGCATGTGCACGTGTGCCCAAGATCCTGGGAGGAGAATGGAGGAAAAAGGATTGCAGCGTGGCCATTCCTCAGGGGAGGTGGGGTGATTTCTCACTTTCTGTCTCTCTGCCTTTCTCTTTCTGATGAGCTCACATGCCCCATAGCAAAAAACTCTCAAAAAAATTAAATAATCAATGTCCACACATAATTGTCATTCAGATGTTTATAGGATCTGTATAATTAATTGCCAAAACCAGAAAGCAACAAAGATGTTCTACAATAGGTGAATGGATAAACAAACTACAGTATACCTGTAAAATTCAATAGTCTGCAGTGATAAAAAGAAATGAGCTATAGAGCTACTAAAACAAATAAATAATTTTTTAAAAATTCAGTGGTTGTCATGGCTTCAGGAAGCGGGGAAGAGGATGAATAGGTAGAAACAGAAGATTTTAGAGCAGTGAATGTATTCTGTATGATACGGTACTGGTGAATGGAAGTAATTGTACTTTTGTCAAAATCTATAGAATGTAGGGACCAGCAGTTAGCATAATGACTATGTCGCTGAATTCCCATGTAGTAGACCGTGGTTCGAATCCCGGAACCAGTGGCTTAAACTCATGCCGGGTGCGTGTGCATGCGTGCTTAAGATCCCAAGAGGAGAATGGAGGAGAAGGGATTGCGGAGTGGCCACCCCCACTTGGGGGTGATTGCTTGCTTTATGTCTCTCTATCTTTCTGTGTCTGGCGAGCGCATGCACCCTATAGCAAAAACCTCCCCCCCACACACACAAAAATCTATAGAATGTATGTAGTACAAACAATAAAGCCTAATTTTTAAAATATAGTTATTTTATTTTTTGATATTATTTATTCATTTATTTTAATTTGACCAGAGAGACAGACAGAGAGAGGAGAAGTGAGAAAGCAAGCCACTCGGTCTGGGACTTGAACCATGGTTGGCCATGTGGCAGTGTCCAGCACCTTAAACACCACATTACCTGCTGGTCCCAAAGTGCCGGGGACCAGCCTCGGCGTGGGTGGGTTATCTCGATGGAGGCGGCGAAGGTGAACAGAAGACAGAGGCCTCGATGCTTTCTCATGCACGTCCTATGCCGGACACCCCTCAAAGAT